CCTTTTGCTGAGGATATTATTGCTGGTTTATTTTTGCAGGACAACTCAGACGTCAGACCTATCTTTGCCTTTTCGTTGTTGTGTTGTTGTTTTGTTTTCTTCTTTGGGGGTTCCTACATTTGCTATTTCTCTGAAGAGAGGACCCACCCAAGAAAAAGAAAAGAAAGAAATAACGAAAGAAAGTGGCTGGTATGGCAGGAGGCTGATGGTGACTTCCCCTTTGTTTTTTCTTCAACAAAAAAAACGCCCAGGAAGCGCTCCCTCCTAAGTGAGATTAACCTCATAAGTGACACCACCCGTCTTCTTTAAGGGATCGAGGTTCTGATTCAGAGACTCACAAAAGCCATGGTGCTGTGCTCGCGGATGCTGCTCCTCTCCTGAGTGCTCGTTGACCTCCGTCGGGCAAATACGCTGACGGAACTGAGTTGCTCCATTTGGAGTGTGCCTTTGGGTTCCATGATTTGGAGAAGCACATGGAGCAGCATTGGAGGGAGCCCCACTAGGGAACCTCCAGGGAACCTCCTCCCAAGAACCCCGAATGCTCCATGAGTGATTTGGAGTTGGGGTTCCCCAGTTTGGAGGTTCCCCGATTTGGAGGTTCAGTGGTTGCCTGGAGATTGCTCTTGCCCCAATGCCTTGCAGGCCAGCGATTGCTGGGCCAAGGTCACAAGACCAGCCACGTTGGGAAAGAACCCTTGGACATGATTCAGGTTGGGAAGTTTAACAATCTGGGTGCATTATAATATGTCACCAACCTGAAATAAGGTGGGGGGCTACTCCCCACATAAACCACCATTTGGGGTGAATTCGGTCGTGTGAGGTCCTTATAACTCACCCAGAACAATCCAACCCCCCCGCCCCAGCTCGCAGGTGATGTCCACCTGCCAGGCTTGAACATATATTTCCTGGTACAATTCATGCGGCGCAACTTCGGACTTCGGACTTCGGGAGCCAAGCGAAGTAGAGTTACCTGAAGGACGCAAATCCATGTCTTAGCGGTTGGGATGGATCAAACCCTATGGATACGACCAATCCCTCGCCAATTTGCGAGTGGCTTCATTGATCCAGCCCCGATTATTGACCAAGAATGACCAAGACCTACTGACTTTTGGTTCTACTCACATGGTTACAAAGGTTTATATGGCCATGAGGCATCCTCTGGCTCCGTTTTTGGGGTGGATGAACATCCATTTGCCACCCATTTTGATGTTCACCAGGGGTACAGGGTTGTGACCCACAGCCATCCGGGCCTTATCCCAATTGAACCCAGAACCACCTACCATGCCCAAATGAAGGCTTCGGAAGTGGAGAAAGAGCTGCCGAGCTCCTCCTCAGCTTGGCTGACGTTGGAAGGGGAGCAACAAATGATTTGTTAGCAGTTAAGTGGGGATGTCCCACTAAACCACAATAAGCAAAACACGAAAAACACATGTTTCCCAACAACAACCATGTCAGGTGCCCAGTGTCCATGGGAAAACAAGGGCGTCCCAGCACCCTCCGACTACTGATTTCATATTATTTTCGCAACTACCCTCTATTTAGCAGTAGTTCCGAGCATAAGACAAAAGACAGTCTACGGTTGTTTCACGTTCTTTCCCAAACAGCAAAAGACAAGCTTATATCACAAGCCCACGGTGACACGCAAGTGACACGCAGTGACATGCAGCTGACACGGGCTGACACGCAGGCAACACGGGGTGGCACGCAGGCGACACGGGGTGACATGCAGGTGACACGGACACGGGGGCGACACGGGGGCGACACGGGGGTGACACGGGGTGACGGCGACACCGGGCGACACGGGGTGACACGCTAAAACTACTGTTGTTCGCAGCCATCTATTGTTGTTCTAGCATACTGACACGGGGGCGACACGGGGGCGACACGGGGTGATACGCAAGTGACAGGCTGTGAGGCGCTTGCTGCGCTGGCTGCCACCCCTAGCAGTAGTTAGACTATGGGCATCCCGCAAACAAAATAATTAACAGTAGCTTTTCCAACTACGGCCTGTTTTTTGGAAAATTCTATCTACTGCCCCCTGAACAGTAGTTGGAGGGTGCTGGTCCTTTTTGGTTGAGTCTAAAGGGATCGGAACCTTTTCCCCAAAAAAAGATGGGAAAAAAGGAAGCAATTTGGCCGGTGCGAGAGATGCAGGGAACGAGACATGGAATGACCCCGATTGAAACCATCCAACTTGTGGCTTCCTTCATTCGGGAATCGCCTGCTTCATTCCATTTCCCATTTCCTACCTATCGCACCAGCAAGAAGATGTTGTGAGCAATGCATAAAGAGCTGCATGGCATGTTTTTCCCTGGGCAGTAGAAGCAGTGATCAAGAGGTCCAAAGCTATGTCTCACTTGCAACCAAATCGGAGCTAACACCAGGGTACTCTCCCTTCCACTAACACAGCAACTGTGGGAGGGTACCTGGATTCCTCTCAAAGGGACTCCCTGTCAGGTGCCAGGTTCGTGAGAGAGAGGTGATATCACCTTTTGGGGCCTTGACGGATCAAAAGGTTGGCGTTGGACTGAGATGACTAAACTTGCCCATGGCATGGATACGAGCATTGCTTTCCTGAGGCTAGGACCAGCAACACGCGGTCGTGGAGCATAGTCAGTGCTTCTTTTGCCTCGTCAATGAGATGAATCTGCCGAAAACGGACGAAGCCTCCATCTGGGGGTGTCTGCTTTTTGAGGGACTGCTTTTTGGGGTTGGTTTATTGAAAGGAAACAAAAAGGAAAACCATTCCAGGGGGGGTCCCCCCCCAAAAAAGAAGAAGAAAAAAGCAAGACACACCCATCGGGTCCACTTTGGACTGCTGTTACCAAGGTGAATCCTTGCCTCCCACGCTAAAGAAACTCAGCTGCGAGTTGTGTGCTTGGCGTGACGAGGAAGAATCACTACTTCTTAAAATTGAAATTGTGTTCCAGTTGCTTTGTGCTATCTCACTCCAGCGCCCGCCCAGCGCCGCAGTGGCACGGGCAGGTGTAGGTCAATCAATGACTCATCTGGTTTTACCCTTCGACCAAATTGTTCAGGGGCCGAAAACCAAATTCATCGCAAGGACCGTTAGAATGTCAGAATCCTTTCTGACTGAGTCAGTCAAAGCAAGACAAAGCCATGGCAGTGGCGTCCCGAAAAAGTCGAAAGCCAACAAATCCGTTGGGTATATTTTGCATGTGATGCAGCGGTGCAACTCTCGGGTTTCTGGAATCTTCAGGAGTCAGCCCCCCGCAAGTTTACGGAAGGAACAAGGCACCGATTCCCAAACGGAGATTGCGTTGCAAATGATGCTTGGCAGGGTGCTGGAACCCGTATATAAGGCACAAACTACAGTACCCGCACCAGTTGGGATGGATGCCCTGTCAATGATGGGAGAGATAAACCACCTACCAATTGGTGCGAAGTGGAGTTCGGCCACCTGAAAATAGGATGTTTGGTTGCTTTTCAGGTTGCGCCAAGGCCATCTGTCCTATCTTATGGGGGAATCGCTCACAGAAAAAAAGGGGTTCCAGTTGTTCGCGAAAGCGGTGCGAATGGAACCAACGGTGCGTGAAAAGCCCTGCGCTTTGCTGTTTCTTCTCACAGCCCGCCTGTTCCGTGGTCTCGTATCGCAAGATCGCGGAACTTTTCCCCTTCTTTAGCCTGACAATCAGACATGAAGCGAAGTGCAAAGGGAATGGTGTTGTTGCGCCCTTCTGGGCGCCAAACCGACCTCCTCAGTGGGCCGCCTTTTCGACCTTGTTTATCTGGCCCGGGCGCCTTTTCCGGCCTGTTCACCCAAAAGTGGTAGACAAATCAAGCGGATGTCGCCTGTTAGGGCTGTCCAAGCCTCAGGAAGCTCGTGGTGGCCACGTCTGGCGCTTGCCAGATACATCCAAACATCCAAATGCCCCAACCCCTGGTCTCCCATTCATCTTCCTCTTAGAACTAGGCCCCGAAAGGTGGCATCCTCAACATCACCATCTGAGTGCTGGTCAAATCTGAAACTTCCATTTCGCTGGTAATTTGAAGATGCCACTTTTTGGGACTTGTACTGAGACCAGTCCACGTTTTATGGGACCCGGTATGAAAAACTGGTGAGTACTGAAGTGAACTTGCCCAGATGTGGGGGCAGGAGAACACCAACGGAGGGAAGTGCCTTCTACTTTTACCCAGAGACGCTGTGTGGCAAACGGGTGCGTCTTTTTTCACGGGCTTCACACCTTGGCTGTGGAACCATGCAACACACGCGCGGTCCATAACTCATGTGGCTTGCGCCATGATGCGCGAATGCACACTCGAGCACTTTTGAAGCCTTGACTTGAGAGAGGACCCAAACTCAGGCAAACCTGGGGCCGGATGGACAAACTCCCGCGGTTTGCGGGTGCAGGGTTTCATCCACGAAACGAATGGCAAGTCCATCTCCAAGTTCCCAATTGTTTGTTGGGCTGCCCTGAAATCCCCTGCTAAAAGTTCAGTTTGTCGTGGGTTAAATGGAAACCACCACTAAACACTAAAAGGCCGAAAAGCTAAGAAACCGGATGGCTGGGAGCCACCAGTTTTTGTTCGGACTCTGGCATTTTTGGGTTAAGTTGTCTCCTCTTCGGCCCGCATTTTTTTCATCCAGCCTTAGGAAGACGACCTTGATCGACTTGGGCTTTCGCAAATTGAGATGGTCATGCAAGCGGTCCAGGTCCTTCCGACAGAGCTATTGGGAAATCGCCATGGCTGGGACTATCTGGGGCCGGGCAAGAGTTAGAATGTGGAACGCAAAACCAAGGCCATGAAGATGGGGAACTCTTCCAATGCCAAAGCCATGCACATTGGGAACTCTTCTAATACCAACGCCATGAACATGGGGAACTCTTCCAATACCAAAGCCATCAACATGGGGAACTCTTCCAATACCTCTTTACTTTGCTTTGTTTTCACCAGGGTGCAATCCAGGCAGCAATGAACAATTCCGTCCCATATCCGGTCACGAGTCGATGTGAAATCCAACAGCCAGCGCGTGTGCCCCAGATTTCATTGCTGATTTCCAACACATACAAAGTACATTTGGGCTTGTCTTTTTTCAGGCTACCTTTGTTTGGGTAGTTTTAAAGGGAAACCAAAAGGACACCCTTGCCATGTGTTTTTTTTTTTGTGGGAGGGGGGGGAGCAGGCTAAAAAAAAGACACCCATTTGGCCATTTCCCTGCAAAAAACCACGGAGCTCACTCTTCGCCTTTTCCACGTACAGCCATGTTGCACAACTGCCTGGGCTCATGGAGTGCCCAGTGTCCTACTGGGTGTGCGGCCAAGTAGTAAATGTAAATGATTCGTAGCCTAGGCTGTAACCTCCCCCAGTCGGCCCAGTTCAAAGGACGGCGACGGGGTGCCAGAAGCCTTGACTACTGGCCATCAAACTCGAGTCCAGGAACCAGCCCTATCAACATTAATTTTTGTACCCTGCCACCGGCTAACATGGAAGTGCACAGACCCCTGTAGAAAGACTACTTTCCTCTTGGAAAGGGCCTTTTTGCACTTCCATGTTAGTAGGGTAAGCACTTGATAAATACCTGAACATCAATTGTTAATACTATTTAGATATATTTGACCCTTCCACATCCAAACAAAAGGCTACATCCTACTACTACCCACTTACTACTGGAAAACCACAGCAAAAGTGTCGCCTTTCCTAACCCACGGACATAAGGAACTACCGGGGGCTAAATGGGTGCGGAACGCAACAGCAACACATACTCATCCCCTTTTTAGTTTCCCTTCGGCTAAACTAAACCACGTGCATGCGCGATTTGGGTGTTCCTTTTTTTGGCAAGCCCCTTTTTGGTTGGATTTAAACAGGAAACCAACAGCAAAAATAGAAAACGAAGGGCCAGCAGGGGCTTCCCCTGAGACAAACCCATTTAGCGGTTGAGCTCCTGCTTGCTAAAATCGCTGGGCATGTCCGAGAGGTACAACGTAAACCTCGGTGCTGGCTGCTTCCCCCCGTTTTTCCAAGTAGAACCCATCCTGCGAAAGGGGGAACATGCTCCCTGATCAACCCAACAAACAAATTGGAACATCAGGGGGTTCTCAAACTGGTCGACGCGCAGAGTCGGCCTTGGACTTTCAAACAACAGAAAGAGTACCAAAGAAGAGGTGCCCTGTATGGCTGTGGCTCAAAATTATGGTAACCCCAAAATGGCGCAAGCCCTGCCAAATGGAAAGCACTAAAACCTGCGGTCCATATCCTGGTTGTTTAATTTTGACCCGTATAGCCGTATAGCCGGTGAGCTACGGCATCAACACTGCCAAGGTTGCCTCAAGGGGACACGGGACAATTCGAGTTCCGTGCCCTGAGCCCCTCGTGTCCCCCACGTCCCTTCCCAATGGACCATCGGTCATAGACCGCTGAAATGCTGACCGAACTTCATATGGGCATGGGTCAAAAGCCAAATCGGTTAGCCCCCGTGAACATCCCAATCCAACCACTAAAATAGGTTATAAAATGGGTGGTGAATTCACCTACCCGAAAATGGGATCCCAAAACGGTTTTGACAACCAAAGCCATATGCTTCTAGGAATGCAGAGAGGACAGACTCTTAGCCTTGGAAAACCCAGGTTGAATACAGGATGAGGAATCGTGAAACCAAGAAAGCAACTTGCCCATCACGAAGGTCAAGCCGTGGCCCAGTTGAACTGGGGCTGGGGGCCACTTGGCTGTGGGTCAAAAATGGGTACCCCAATGGAACCCTGGTAAGTGGAAACATGGACCAAAACCTGCATAACCCCTCCTGTTTAATTTTGAGCCACACCCATTTGGTCAGAAGGACTGCCAACCACCGATTCGGCAGGACTCGGCAGGACGACGCGCCAGCTGTCGAGCGGTTTGGAGCTACGAAGGTTGCTCGGTTGCTTTCTGCTCCCCGCTAAAGGTGACAACAGTTAAAGCCTAACAACCAAGCAAAATGCACCAAAGGCTATATAAAGTTTAGATCAGTGGCATATAAGCATCAATACCTCAAAACCATACCTGGAAATCCCATTGAAAGAAGGGACAATCATTCTGAACCAGAGCTCCCGAAGAAATGCGCATACAGTTGAAGATACATCATGTTTGAAGTTGGCAAGAAACCAAGAGCATAGATCTGGGCAAATGCAAGTTTCTGAAACCTCCTTTTTGATTTGTATCTAAAGGGACACCAAAAGCCAACCAACATTATTTTTTTGGGGATCCCTTTTTTTGAGAAACGCCGAAATGAATATAATTCACCAATTGCAACAAATGAACCCCAAGGGAACCTTCATCATGGAGCCAAATCGCTTGCTTCATCCCCGGTCGGCGAGCACGCTAATTATACCGGTATGTCTTCAGATAGGGGACCCCCAAAATGGCGGTTTTCCTCTTGGTTTCCCTTTGCAACCACCGCAACTCGCAACGAGGATACCCTTGAAGAAGACAACCCACTTTGCACAAATGGGCAAAGTATAGTATAGCCCGCATCGCGGTTGAAAAGAGGCGAACCAAAACCGA